AATCAGTTCTTTCACTAATGGTTCAACACAACATGTCCTTCATTGGGCACTGTGGGGAAGAGGAACTTGCATGGTACCTTATTGGAAACCAGCAGGAAACTCGTGTTGTGTTGGAACCTGAATCAAATTTGGTCATTTTTCAAATGTAATGTCTTTGACTGGTGCTGTTTCTCATCTCAAACTGTATAAACTGTCATCATTTACCATGATATGAGATATACTGAGAGGTCTAGGAATGCTGGAGCTAATTTGAAAAGTGCTCAATGTAGTCTCACTTTGACACATAAGCAGTGACAAAAGTATTAAATATTATACAATTATTGTACAAGGATATAGGTTCACAGTTAGATACTTGACATATAAGCCACAATTAAAAGGCTTATAATTCCATACTGACCTATGTAAAGGTAGCAGTTTGCAACAGTAGCAAAACCTTAATGATAGCCACTTTAAACCTTTTATGCAAGACTACACTAGGATCCCTTATATAAATATATAATATTAATTTGCTCATTAAATGCTAAAAAAAAACATCACTGAATATTTAAAAAAAAATTATTTGAACATTTCAGTGCTATAAATAATGATTTAAACATTTTTGATTAAATTGTTCAAAGTAGCCTCTTTTGATGGTACTTTACTGCTCTAGACACCCTCTAAATGATGTATAAAAGAATGAGTGGTATATATGAACTTGTGGAGCCATGAACATGGTCACAGATGGTGGGATAACAGGTATTCGGGATCAGGGTGCAAAATTTTGTCTTGTACCTGTAGTGGAAGATTGATTCTCAGACAAGGAGACCAGTAATAACTATTGAATGGACATACTCTTGGAGCTAAGGCCCCTTCATTCTCATCTAAGGGCTAGCCAAGTCAATGGGTACCTGGGGAGAATCAAAATCGTTCAAGCAGACCCAAGAAAATAAGCTTGATAACTCCCAGACAATGCAATGGGAACACCAAACAAAGTTAAAAATACAGCCGTAAGGTATTCCTTATCCTAGTTGGAGTTATTATACATTATGTGGAGTCTCATCTCTGAAGTCCCGATTATTATGCATGAACATGAATATGTGGGAAAAGTACCAGCTGGATCATTGTCAGCCACCTGATAAATCATCCTCTCATGGAAAGTAACCTGTCGTTGTTGGTTTTAGTAAACAAGTACTTTATAAAATAGTCGCATTTCAATTATTATACATTATATATGTATATAGGTTATTACTATTTTGAAACAAGTACTTGAACTTATTTTTCGTAAAACATAGAACAGTAAATAAAGAAGTAAAGCAAACAATTAACTCTTCTAGTTACAACCTTTGTACTCGGTTGCTGCTTGACATAGGTTGCTAAGCCTTTAAAAATTTTGTACGTAGAGGATATAACACAGTTTGTTTTAGGTTTTATATATATACAACATGGTCACAAGTAAATACACCACCTTTTCAGAAAAAATGAATATTTTTCAGTCATATTCACATGAATTGATATAATTATATTAATATCTAGTAGATCTTCCTTTCCTTCGTGGAGTTCATTGATCCTTTGGGGCATCGTGAGAATCATCTCATCAATTTTAGATTGTGGTATTTTCGCCCACTCTTGCTTCAAAACTTGGAATAGATCGCTCTTCAGAGTTGGTTTTTTAGGTTGTTTCTTGACTTGCCGGGCGAGTATGGCCCAGAGGTTTTTGATGGCATTCATGTCAGGAGATTGGCTCAGCCAGGGCAACTTCTGGATACCATTTTTTTCCTGCCACTTTTGGGTGTTTCTAGCAGCATGACATGATGCTCCATCTCCCTGGAACAACGTTGTGCTCTTGTCCACGAAACCATAGGAATAAAGTGGCAAGAGTCCTTACTCCAATATTTCGACATATTTCGCAAAATTTATGTTGCCAACACACTCCACTAAGCTCGATCTCCCACCAACCCAAACAGCTCCCCAAACCACCATGCTTCACAGTTGGCTGCAATCTGTTGAGCCTAAACTCTTGGTGAGGCATTTTCCAGACCCATGTCCTTCCACTGTCCAAAAATTGAGCGAATCTTGATTCGTCTGAGAATAATACAGTCTTCCAAAAGTCCAGAGGTTTGGTCATCATATCACTTGTCCACTTCTTTCGTCTGACTATGTTGGCAGGTCTTAATAAGGGCTTCCATCTAATTGCTCTGCAATGATAACCCAATCTGTGTAGAATCCGTTGAACAGATTTCAGGCACATCCAAACAACTTTGGCCACTTCT